GCGTCAGGCCATTTCTCGAGTGGAACCAGGCCGATAGGGAAGCGGCGAGTGGGGCGTCAGTGCAAGGGTGAAATGGAGAAGATCGTGTGAAGAGGAGTTGAAACAGTATGGACTAGCATGGATGCAGGCGAATAGTACAGCAGAAGACAGAAGCAAATGGAGACGTGCAGTTGAAGCCCTATGTTCCACTAGGAACTCAAGGAAAAATAATAATAATGATCATTATTAGTATACCCTTGCTTCTCCAAAAGGAGAATAGGACTTCAGCAACAGGTCACTGGTTCATTCTCTTCTGTATACTGTGGCTCCACAATCGTCCGTAAACTTTCATTCCCTTTTTGTCAGTTGATTTGTACCATAGTTACCGTTGGGCGCATTCCTAGCTCGTTGTTTCCCATTCTGGTTCCAGTTGATGGCTTACCTGGTGCCTGCGATGCCACTCAACAGTCTCCTAAGCACGTATGTCCAGTCTGTCCTCATTTTTTTCCGCGTTTCTCTTCCACCAGTTATGGTATACTCTATCTTGCAGTTAGGCTTACTTTTTTGATTGCAGTTTATACTGTCAAGCTGATGATGTGATAAAAGGAGTGAAACTACATCGATCGAGATGGCTAAGACATGTATTGTGCATGCAGAGCAATCGCCTTCGCTGTCGAGAAATTTTAGCTAACACAGGACTATGTCATAAAAGAGTTAGGGATGGTTCATGAAGTTCATGAATTCGTTGACAATTAGTTTGAGCCACTTAAAGAAGTGTAGCCTTCTGTTCTCAGGAGGCTAAGAACTAATGTATGCAGACAGTTGGTGATACAGTTAAAAGTCTTTGTCAGTAGAGCAGATGCTTTCACTCTCTTTTTGTTTCCTTATATCTATATTCAATCACCATCTTTTTTCATATTTCTATCCTTTCTTTATATTTCTGCGTATTATAATTTTTTTCAGTGATAGAATTGACTAATAGAATTCAGCCTGTACCAAACAAATGATTAGACACACTACACTAGTTACTAACTAGTGTCTAATACAGTCTTACTGGAAGTCAATCGCTAGCCCAATTAGCTCAGTGGTAACATCTTTGACTGCAGAACTCACTGGGTGACGTGGGTTCGAGTCTCCCCAGAAGGAACATGAGTTCTTTCAAGGTGACTGCAGATACGCCTTGCTTATTGGTGGGTGCAAACTAGTACGCAAACTAGGTCCAGACAGGGCATCCTGCCGATTGCCTCCAACCATCTAATATCAACGATTCACAGTATACCGTGATGGCTAACCACCTAGAATGGTGGACACATTGCAAACTTGAATGGTAGAATTCAGTCTGCATCAAACAAAAGGACTAGACACACTACACTAGTTACTGACTAGTTTCCAGTTTCTCTCTTTGTGCATGTTTGTTTGCCACACGGATTGTGGAGGCTGGAACTGCGCTACACTTCTGTGCAAAGTTCTTTACTAAAACTCAATCAGTTAGATAACGTATGCTATGGTCTGAATATATTTTTCAACTGACTATAAGTTCCCATTAAGTTTTTTTGAAAGGATAGATATGGAACAAAGAGTACCCTTTTCGATAGCTTAATCATCAGGCTCTACAGTTGTATATAAGTTATAGTGAATGAATGAATTAGTGTTATGAATATCAATAATGTTGTTTAAATAACATCGAATCAATAATAATATCAGTGGATTACAGCTAAACAGCATCAACATAAAATAAGCTAAATGTCAGAAAAATTAAGAAAGATGATATTACAAATTCATGAATTTATAATCTCTAGTGAAGGCTGGCCAGGGCAGTAGTAGAGGCTGGACTTGCTTCTTTTGAACAGAGAGCACTGGTTGTTTGAGGCGAATTGAAATAGCCTGTGCTGTTTGAAGTATGCGGTGCTTCGATGATTTTGGCAATTTATTAGGCACCTGGTAGATGATAGAGAAGGATTCTTCAATGATAGCTGGCTTTGTGGCCAGCCGGTTTTCACCAGATGGTCCAATATCGAACTGTTAATAGTTTTAACTACACGTTTACTTAGCCATGCTGGGAGATTTATTTATTTATTTTTTTTATTTTTGATTACAGCTTGATTCCACACCGTATTTTTGGTATATGTATGGAATTTTCAGCGTGGATATCGGTAGCCCAGAATTCGCAGGCCGACCATAGATATCAGGTGTGCGTCGGTGAGGGCTCGAACCCCGGACCATGTGCATGGTCGGCGAGAGTCCTAACCACTGTGCCAATATAACTCGCTCCACCACAGGAGAGCAGTTGAATTGGTAAATACAATTTAAATTGGCTTATCTAGGCACTTCATCTTTCAGTTGAGGTAGCACCATCGGTCGTGTAGAGAATAAAACGTGTAGTTTGCCAGCATTAAAAGTTCTTTGAACTGATATATATATATATATATATATATATATATTGATTTTCCAGTTAAAATGATGATGACTTTTCCCCTTGAACTGTGTGCATTTTATAAATTGCAAATTTCATTCAATCGCTAATCTCCTCCCACTTTACAATAAATGAAAAAGGAAAATATGACCTAAACTATAGGCTAGGCTGTTCACTAAAGATAATAATTCATGTGGAGGGTATTGAAACAACATTTCAATACTGCTGGCATATATACTTCAGTGTAGAACGAATTTATGAATGCACAAAGCATATAACACAGAGTAATGATAATAATAATAATATTAATAACAATCTGAAATCGTAATTTGCAATTGTATTTCTCAATTTACCACCTTTCGAGGTGAAATTTAATCACAGTTTCCTTTAGAAGCCAAAATTATTCAGATCACAATATCTGTAGCGTGTATAATATCTGTAGAGGTGTTTATTCCGGTGCACGATAAATATACTGTTGTTGTATCCCTCAGAAGAGCCTGTAGTGTAAACTAATTCAGTATGCGTGCGTCGATGGCACAGCGATAGATTGTTCACCGATCACGCATATGGTCCGGGATACGATCCTCGCCCACAGACTCACTCCTTTACCTCACTAAGCCAGTAATAAGACTGGTAAAGAGGGAAGGTTGGGCATGAGGCTAGCAATCCCATCTTGAAAAAATAATAATAACCCCTGGAAACGCAAAGGACGAAAAAAAATTCAGTGTGCGCGCGAGGTCATGTAGTGGTCATTTGTTATATTTGCAGGAATAAAATAATACGGAATAACTTAAGATGTTTTAAGCATTTTGATGGATGCAGATTCTGGTAGCTCAGTGATGTACTGAACCATTGGTTATTCATACACATACATATATAATTTACTGAAACTTTATTCTATGATAACTGACCAATCAGAAACTACTTAAATGTATCTATGTTTGACATGGTGATCTTGGAAGACATCTACTCGTTGACCAATTTATCTATCTATACATTTAGGACAGCGCATTTAAGCGAATAATGTTGCATTTTCAATTAGATCTCACCAGCCTCACTTCTAATGTACATAACTTTACAAATAAAAATTCAAATATAAACCCATCATGGTGTTTTGTCTATAGGATAATTAGATGCTGAATATAAATTGTGCAATTAGTCATAATAGTAGTAATGATAATAATAATAATAATAATAATGTTTTTATCAGTAATAAGGATGAGAAAGTGAGGCAATCTATGATAACAAGAATAATGAAAAACAGCATGACGAAGCAAACAAATGTTCAGGTAGAAGTAGTAGTCGATAAAGGCTTAGAAAAACAAATGAACCGATTACGTCATGCTGGATTGTAACGGAAGTACATCAAATAATAAAAGATGTTTTAATGACGATGTGATAAGATTAAGGGATGATAAGAGAGGGAGGTGTTGAAAATATAAGCAAGGAGTGGGGTGGTGACGTCATCAGTTGGTTATGTCGTAATAAGCCAAGCAAGGGAGGTATAATGGCTGTACGAACTTCTTTTGAATGCATAGTTTAGGTTTAATAGTTCGAATGCCTATCACCTCATCCGTATGCAGTAGACGAATACAAAGTCTGTTGGAAAGATTTGGTGAGATTTGATGAATCACCTTGAAAGCAAACGTTTTCTCCCCTACATGACTACTATCAACTAAATGTGATGTGTACGGATTGATTTTGTCTGTTCTTTGCCAAACCATGACGGAAGATGTTCACTAACACGTTGATTAAGCTGCCTAGTATATTTTTTATTTTATTACAGCTTGACTCTACACAGTATTTTTGATACAAGTATGGAATTTTAGCATGTGATATCTGTAGCCCAAATTTAGCAGGCCGACCACTAATATCAGGTGTACGTTTGCAGGGGATCGAACTCCGGACCATGTATATCGTCGACGAGCGTTCTAACTGCTGTGCGACCGACGCATAGTAGTACGATCAACATAACTGTGACCGCAGGTGCAGTTGAATTGATAAATGCACATAGATGTGGAAAAACTATTTAGCTTATCTCTCATTTGCGTCCGGAATAAAATCTCACATGATAGCTTACAATTAATAAAAAGACATTTGCAGCGAAGAAAAGTTTCTTCTCGACGAAGTCATCAATTAGTCTGTACATTCCGTGTAATTATATAAAATGTGTAAGACAGTTCCAGAACTATTTCCCATCAGAGGTGTAATAAACAGCAGATAGGTAGTGGCACTATTCTAGAATTATTTCAGGTCAAAGGTTAAATTCCCAATTAAATTGTAACTTAATAAACAGCTTCTCAAGTTTTGGTTTTGTAGTGATTTTGTTTGATTGCATGGGGGATTTCATCATGAGCTGACATCAGTTAGACATCTTCAGAGTACTGATGAAGAGTCCCAGACTAGGACGAAACAGTTGTACAGTACTCCGAGGATTTCCAGTGTTCTCATGAAGAAATCCTCCATGCAATCAAACAGCTCCTCAGTTAAACCAACCATCCCAGAGAACACAACTAATTACGTTGTAAAGGTGTTATAACTCTTTCTCCACCTCTCATTTATTTATTGTTTAAAACTTTTTTTTCTCTCTAATACACCATACTACTAGGCACGTGAAGAAATCCGTATTTTGGAGACACTAAGAGATATGCGTGAATCCTATGGAAATGGTACAAAAAATCGTTATGATTTTCCAGTTATCCATTTATACGAGTATTTTACATTTCGTAAACATATTTGTATGACATTTGAACTACTCAATATCAACTTATATGATCTGCTCAAGTTGAATAAATTTACCGGACTACCAAGAGATCGTGTTCGACGAATCTGTTTTCAAGTACTGAAAGCCTTACAATTTATTCAAAAGGCCGGGATTATACATTGTGATTTAAAACCAGAGAATGTTCTACTCGTCTGGCCACAATCACCAGAAAGTGAGAACAATACGAGTACGACTACTACTCATAATAATAATAATCATAGTCACCATTCCGGTTATCAACAAAAGCACCAAAATCATTCAAACAATAAGAGTAATAATGATTCAGCGTCGAATTTACGTTCAACTTATTATAGTGGTGCTGAACAAAAAGATTATGTAAAGCTGATTGATTTTGGATCAAGTTGTTTTCGTAAAGGTCAACCTTATCCATATATTCAGTCAAGATTTTATCGTGCACCAGAAATTCTACTTCGTTTAGGTTATGATGAAGCAATTGATACTTGGAGTTTTGGTTGTCTTATCGCTGAATTAATCAATGGTAAGTTAGCCAGTTTTTTTCTTGCGGTTTATTTATTTCTCTCTTGTTTCTGAATATATTTTAATTGAATACATTTTGATGAAAAATCTGCACTGATTATAATGTCCGGGATGATTTGAAAACATTAGCCAACAGAAACATTAATGCATTCTTGATATCTACAAGGGAAGCTAACTGTGGATCACTTGACTAGTCTTTGCAATCAAAAATCGACAGATATCCTTCTGCGGAAGCAGTGACATTAGAAGAACAGAAAGAAGGGCATATCTACGATTTTCTGAATATGTAACAAAACGCTTATGTCTAAATGGAACAAATGCTTCAAACAGTGCAATCGCTAGGCATCTGATTGACACGGGTCATGAGGTGGACGTCGAAAAGTCGTTCAAAATTATCAATAGGCAAAAGAGTTCAGTTCTTTTCAAGTTTGCTGAGGCCATTTCCATCAAGCGCCTGAAACCTGTTTCATGCGTTCAGAAGGAAACAGTTATCAGTCTATGTTTGCTCTGGTAACTGGATATTTTCATCTCTCTTTCATCTGAATACATAATGCTGAATGCTTCCATTTGAGTATGGTCATTATTGTTCGGAATAGTGTTTATTATTACATATATATATATATATATATATATATATATATATATATTATTACCATGTGCATATATTGATTGATTTTTGTTTAAAATGAACTCTGTGCAAGTGTGTTAAGATTGTTTCTGTAGATTTATTTAATAGCGACTTTAGCCTGTAAGCAGTTGATGAGAAGGCAGGGAAATAAATGTTGGTACCACTTTTTTTCTGTAAAATCTGTTATTCTTGATTTATTCAAATTCGTCAAGGGGAATAAATGTGTGAAATTCCAGTCAGTTGGTCAGTGGATCAAGATAAATCACACCTATCGAGATTGAGACAGTCAAGTGACATTACTAGCCCTGGATGGGAATTTCGTCGCATTGGGGAATTCGTCATCTGGTGAACGTCCTTCATTATGCTGAGTACAGTAGATTTAAGACACTGATTTCAGAGTAAAGAATGTCTGTTTTCTTTTCACGATTTTGCCTGGTTTTCACATGCCCATCTGTGCCACCTGTATTTGAAACGATACTGTCTCCACATGAATGAAAGTGATGGCTTTCTTGTAGATTCCTCCCCTTAATGGTGATTCGTTGCTGTTGGTGCTGGTGAATGATGTATCTTCGTCACCTTTGTCTTCTCTATGTTTACTTGAAATCTTACTTTCTTTGGGAGCCTTTTATGCCAACTTGTTGGTTTTTAATCACATATCTTCTAGTTTGCGTTACATTAGGTATGAATCTTCGTCGAAGTCCAGATTTTCTGGGGTTTTCTTGTCGGTCCAACGTATACCTCTGTTCCTCCTCCACATGCCCTGTTGCTTGGTCCAGTGCGCTACAATCAAGAATATCATCAGTATTGGTAGAGAGTCTTGCCATACACCTATCTTCATTTCAAAAGCTTCAGTGAACTCCTCATTAAGAATCATTTGACACGTGGCTGTTGAATGAAATTGATATGAAGGCCCTATATCATTTGCACTCCTTATTATTGAAGCTGTTTCAAATTACTACTATTATTGGTAATAAGTAGTATAAATTTATCGTGTAAAACGTGTATATGTTCATCAAAGTAGTGGCTGGAATAGCCCTAACCAAGCAAATATCTGCTCCCTTGAATTTTTTGTTGACCTTTCAGTACAAGATAGGATGCGGTAATCCAAATGGTGTAGGTTATTGATCTCCCCATCTTTTCACAGGCTTGAAACACACAAATGTTTGCCAGCAACTAACTGTTTTTTAAAATTTCCATGATTGACTGCAGAGATTCACTTATTCGATTGAAGGATGTCCTGGAAGTATCTGGCCGTGAACGAGATGCTGGGAAATCATCCATTTTCTTACTAATGAAGAAAATCTTCTTGAGATCATGTCTCTGTATAAGAACTTACACAGGAATGTCATCTAGAATGGTGATAGCTCGTGGTGTCTTTCAAAACTTCACAATTTCATCGTTTCTTTTTACGAGTTGATCACGGATTGATATCAGTTAGAGAAGCATTGAAAACCAGGGATTACTGGACAACTTTTTCATACTAGTTTGGGAAACATTGGCAGTACGCACTTAGTCACATGTGAGGATGGATATCCCACCGACGACAATGGTTGGGGTCACGCTAAATGACGAATTGGTAGAAGTTAGAATTCATGAGCCATTGAAATGGGTCTTAGTGGCTGAATGGTATACCAGCTTGCCTTGTAACCGGAAGGTCCTGAGCTCAAACCCCAGTGGTTACGTAATCCTGATGATTCTCAGGCTAGGATGTCCAGTACTTCCTGGTTTTCAATGGTTCTTTAACTGATATCTACTCGCCATCAACTTGTATAAACAAAACTAATCCTTACAAACCAACTGTAAAAAAGTCATCGTTTCTATTTTATTTCAATACTGACTCTTTCAAACATGTGTATATGGTCAAATTTAGTACCTCAGGCATTGGATTATTTTCAGTACGCTGATGATAGGGCCCTTTTAATTGATGATGATGACAAAATAAAGAGTTTTATATGAAGACTTTGAGGAGAAATCTTTGTATATTTGGCATACACTTTGCTGTTGTCAAAAATAGGGATATACTGCAGGAATCGCTTTCACCGACTTCTAGGTTAAGAACAGATAATGAAATGGCTGAATGCGATAATCACTGTATGATTGTCATATTATTATTTACAAGTGGAATATAAGGCTTCAACGACTGATCTCTGTTTCATCCTGTGCTCTTCATGCCACTGTCAAACCTGCACCCACTTCATTGTTCCTCATTCGACTTGCACTTGAGCGTCTGGTGCATGATTTCATGGAAAGTTGCACCCTTTCTAATCGACTTGTCTGAGGCAGATTTGCACATACTTCCAGATAACATTCGCAAATAGCAAGAAACTGACGCCGTGAGCCTGGTCAACAGATGCTAACTTGGCGTGGTGGTCAGGCCTATTGTGTCACATTGGCCATAAAAGTCGTTTGAATAGTTACTATACTAAAGCCAACTACCAGCATAGTCGTTCGCACTATGCTGACAGTCTGTGGGCGAAGTCGCGTACTGTTGACTGACAGAGATGCAAAAGCATTAAAGTGTTTCATTCAGATGAGCAGCATATCAACTGCGCTAACTCTGTGCTCTGGAAGGGGGCTAGAAAAGGTCGATCTTGAAAATCGTTCATCTCGACTGATCTTGCGGTGGTCCTAGGATCATAGTAGGATATTAATACGGCTGCAATACCAAATTCCAATTCAAACAGGTCGTGTGTGACCAACAGCCTTAGGCAGTTGTTTCTTGGGCTCTTTGGTCACGCAAAACCGGTGCTGTTTCTGTTTCAGGTGCCCCAAGAAAACCTCAAACTTTACTGTTTGAACAAAGAAGACAACCACTCACATGCTTCTGAAGGCAAAGGAAGCTCTCCTGACTACCCACCAGTAAGTATACAAATAATAGAAGTGTCCTCTCACTGAAATTATCAGTCATATCAGGTGGTATAAGACTTTCCCCGGAGGTAACTAGAAGTCGTCCCGCTTATGTTCAGTTTGTTAATAATTTCTGCTACAAGTTCGATCACGGATCAGTGTTAGTTAGAGGACTATTGTAAACTAGCATGAAGTAATGGACAGCTGATTAGTCTTAGTATTGAACTCTTCAGCAGTAAGCACCCACAACCTCACCAAGCATCGAACATGGGACCTTTAGGTTAAGGGGCTCAGCTTGAAAATCGATAGAGGTTAGAATTCATGGGTCAGAGGATCAGGTTTAAGGTGTGTATTACGGAAGAGTCCCAGACTAGGATAAAGCAGCTGTCCAGTACTCCATGCTGGTTCTCAACTTATCTTTAGCTGACGTCAATCTATAATCAAAACTGAAATAAATCAAATCCCTACAGACAAACATTTGAAAAAATAATCTCTGTGTTGCAATGGTAAATTACTTCTCTCACTGACTGACTGACTGACTCGTTGACTGACACTCGTTTTTGTTTTTATTTGCTTTTTAACTTGTTAGGCTTACCCTTATTCCCCGGAGAAGATGAAGCCGATCAAATGGCATGCATTATGGAAGTCCTTGGTCTACCGCATCCATCATTATTACGTCATTCATCACAAATCGATCGTTACTTTATTGAATATAAATGTGATAAACTGAAGCCATCAGCGCTTGAGGCATATGATAAAATAGGTGTAAGAGTGAATAAAGACTCTGTCTACCTACCACGTTATTGTTCAATACGTTATTCAATGGTTGACAATTCACCACAACTGCTACCAGGTCTTTCAAAACGCGGTGGACATGTTCGTGGTATCCCTAATAGTATGCCACTACTACAAGCTATTACTCAGTCAAGACTACGTCGTTATAAGCGTAAAGATACACGAAGTGTAAGTAATCTAACAACAACAACAACAACAACAATGAATCATATAAGTGGTCATAAAATGTCTGAAGAAGAAGAAGCCTATATGGATGAAGATAACGAATTGGTTGTCAATCTGGTCGCTTCATGTTTATCTTGGTTACCAAATGAAAGAATCCAGTCAAACAAAGCAATTGTTCATTCATGGTTCAATCATTTTTATCATAATCATAAAACCAATAGTAATAATGGCAATAATGGTAAATCTCACACAGGCTTTCGTTCACCTTTACGTGTACGAAGTATGGAAGTGTCGAAATTTGTTTCTTCAAAATTTATGAATGAATTAAACGAACGTCAATTGATTCATGATTACCGTAATAGTCGTGAGTCTTTAGGCAAAGACGCCATGATGTTAAACAAGCCTGAATTAGTAGGACCAGGAGCAGCAGGAGGAGGTGGTGGAGGATTACGTAATCATGGTCAACAAAAAGCCTCACGATTAAATATGAACACTAGTCATTTGTTTAATTTAGATGTTACTGGGAATAATGCTTCTTTGAATGATTTAACATCAGTGAGAAATTCATTTATGATTGATGCACAGGTTAGTCCGATCACTGCAGAAGAAGTTAAGTTAGCCCAACGTAATTCACAAATTACTATTGTACCACGTGTACCTGTACAAAATCAAACAGACCAATCGGATTATTACAGTAATACTGTAAGTCTAATTGATTCACCGATAATCACTTCAATAAAAGATTTGTCACAATCGCTACTAACACAACCACCACAAACAGCGACAACAACAATGTCGGCGACGAAACTAAATCTAACATCATCTAGTTCCTCTTCATCATCACTGTCAGTGTCGTCTGCTGCAGTTCCTGCTACTGCTTCAGCTAGTGGACGAGTTACACTGGTTTATTCATCAAGTAATAATAACAATAATAATAACAACAAAAATGGCAATATTGAGTTGGGAAACAATCGAGATGGTCGATTATTGGCTGTGAATGTTATCACGACGACGATGACGGCAGCGGTGCCAGCTACTATTACTGCTACGAATGCCATGAATGCTGTTGCAACGAGTAATCAGAACACCACCAACATCAACAACGCCTGTGATGACATAACCATTTCTAACACATATAATAGTTTATTTAAACTGACTGATAACACGACTGTCGGCGGTTATAGAAGGAACAGTCCAAGTAGTCGGAGTAGCAGTAGTAGTAGCAGTACAAGTAGTGGGGCTGGAAGTTTTGATGGAATTAACTACACCAGTGTCAACGACATTAAACATAAGCACCAACAGTCATCTTCACCGTTATCTTTTCATCCCCATCATAATGCACAAGGGATTCTCACCTCTTTGAATGATAAGAACTCTTCAGGTAACCTATTATTAAAATCATACCCGACAGGCTACACAAAACCTGATACAATCTATCAGAGTAAAATGATCCTAGATCGTAATACCACTACTACCAATCTGAATGACACTAATGGTATCGGTATTGTCAAACCAATCTCAGGATATATTGTAAATACTTATACTACTCATGATCCGAATAATATAAGTAGTATTAGTAGTAGTACTAATCACAAAACGAAAATAATCACTGACACTGAACCATCATCGGATACTCCAACATTATTGATTACAACTGGTGGTGGGCAGTGTTGTTCAGCGTCTGAATCAACTCCCCACTTACCAAATCTAATCAAATTAAACGCCAACTATGCGAATTCACCAATATCTAAGATAATGAATGCATCAAACCGTTACTCGTATTCAAATCTACACCAGCCATCAATGCAATCAACACTAGGAGCATCATTATCATCATCACAGGTACAAGCACCGTTCATCTCATCGTTAAGGATAGATAAACCCTTGAATAATAGTATGCATAATATTGTGAATATATCAAAAATGAAGTTATCCTATGATAATCAAGATGATGATCAAAGTGATTTATCGATTAATAATGATGGAGTGAAGAAACGCTATTCTGTACCATCACGTTCACGATTAATTGATATACCACAAAGTGAATATGAAATACCAGTCACTGGTAATAATACTACTACTAATAACAATAATAATAATAATAGGGCTGGTAGCGTGAATGACCGTTATGCTAAACAAGATCTTCATTTTATACCAGTGACATCAAATGCTTTCTCATCGATAACTTTGACCTCGAATACCTTCTCTCCGTTGTCTAACACAGTGACATTGTCGTCGTCACGTAACACAACCATTTCAAATGGTCCTGGTCTCTTGCACAATTTCAATACAAACAGCACACTATTACACAATAGTAATAGTAACAATAATGCATCGTGTAAATATCCGAGTGCACTTTCTTATCAACGAGAATCACACCAGAATCAATTCGGAGGAGGCAATAGTTCACAGTACCCTCAAGAACAACCCCGTCGTTATATTGCTACGAATCGATTTTCTGGTGGTAATTCAACTTCAATTACGCCTAATACTATCACCAATATGAATAATAATAATAATAATAATAACAATAGTAATTATCGTAAATTGTCGGATTTGACTAAGCCTTCTATGGAATATATTAACGCCTATGATGAAGGTAAAAATAACGATATTATTGTATACAAGAATCTTGTGAATGGTTATCCCACACAATCTGTTGACACTACAATTACACTGCCAGAAATTGCTCCAAAACCTTTAAATCGTACAAAAATGTTATTGCTAAATAATAATTATAATAATAATAATGGTACTGCTAGTACTACTACTACTTATAATGATAATGGCAGTAGTAGTAAGATAATCTATGATACGTATAATTATGAACAAAGTAATCCTATGAAATGGCGTGGTAATAATTCAACTAATCTATATGCTCCACAACCTTATAGTCAACCGAATATGAGTGAATCATCCTCATCGACTCACAGAATGATTACTCAACGTTTACCTCAACATAATAACAATAATAATAATAATAATAGCAATAATGGCAGTATGAATTGTGTTAACCATACTAATGGTTATGTTGATCAAGTTCAACCATACTACGCACCATAGGCAACAATTTATTTGAATTCGCGCCCCCGCCTTTTTTGAACACACATAAATATTGAAACAATGATCATAGTTGTACACATGTTTTGTTTTTGGGTGAATGAACAAATCAATCAATTTATATACATACACACATATACATAAATGAGCTTCTATTTACAAAACGATGCAATAGTGCAGTATTACAACAGATTCCCAGTGTGCATGTGTGTGAGTGTGTATGGTTTTGTGTACACATTACCAATGAGAATGTAAAACGTACTGCTAGGAGAAAATTACACCTAACTATCTGCCTCCTTCCCTCTTCAATCAGCCACCAGAAAATTCCCTTCTCTGTCTTTTATTCCTTGAACAAAACTTATGCGTGTGATGTCTCCATTAGTGATAAACATTTGTAAACACATTCAATTTAGGTACTTGTAGGTAATATTTCCCCTTATCGCGTTTGTTTGTTTGTTTGTGTATTTCTATACTAATATTTAGGTTTTACCTCTAAGATACGATTCTTTTTAGGAGAGTAGTTTGAAAAAAAGGGAAAATCAATATTGAGGGGCTGTTTTCACATTTTGCCTTTTATTCAATCCGGTTTTCTCTGCCATTTGTGTTTATAGCTGTGAATGTGTGTTTGTGTTTGACTGTCTTTGTAAGTTTGTCAGTAAGCCAAACAGTGTGCGTGTGAGCGTGTTTTTCTGTATGTGTTGAGTTGTAGATATTTGGTCAAATGAAACGCTTTCACTTATGACCACATCGTCTCTGTCTGCCTCTTGAAATCAAACATTTGTAAGATTACAAATATATTATTATTATTATGTAACAGAAATCCTGCTAGATTTCAAATCAAATTTACTGAAATAGCTTGTGTTTTTCTTCGCTCATTTCTTTACTATATTTTTGACTTAAAATGAAATTAATAATAAATAAATAATAATATAATAGTGATTATAATGTCTTTCAAATGATTTTATTTAGTTCCTTCATATATATATTTCATTCTTATTTGATTTTCTTTTTTCTTTCATTTAGCGCCTATCTTTTTTTCATAAACGTTTAAATTTAGCGCTTTATTTTAATTTTTAAAAATGGCGGCAATTTTCAAATGCATATATTGAACAGTTTAAACAAATAGAAAATAAATGGTGAATAATAATAATATAGCTAGGTAGATAAAGTAATAAAACTTTTCTTTATGTACAACGGTTTAATTTATTTCTTTTGATGACTTTCATTCATCATGGATTGTGCTTTTTGTATCTGTATACGGTCCTACTTTGATCCATCCTCATTTGATAGAAATTGTTGATCCGTAGAAGTGATCGTTTTTTTGAAAAAAATTGAAGCAAAATTTTTCAGTTAGTCAGTTGAGCTGCGTATATGCATAGTCCTGCTGAAAGTATAGTATATTATATATATATTATTCACTTAAAATATACATTATTTCTCTTTTTGGTCAGTTTGAGAAAGTTCTTTGTTTTCGTGTTTGCGTTTGCGTTTTTTCCACTTCTTGTCTCCCATCTCGTTTTTTTAAAAGTAAAATTATTTTTTAATAGATAAATAAACACCGATAAATAAATATTTACATGAAATATTGTCCATGTTCAGGAGTTAAAAGTATTTGTTCATTGAGTTTTTATGTTATCTAACATATTATTATGCGTTGTTCAATCTTCACACACAAATGTGTGAGGCTAAGAGGAATGGAACACTTCATTATTTTGCTAGTAGATCTCCCCTTGATATCCAACTGATAAGTTTCAAAAAACGACTCACAAATAATATTGGAAAGGTGTATTTCTAAACGAGGAGGTCAGTGGAAGTATTATTATATATATATATATATATATATATATATATATATAGGGACATTAATTATGCAAAAAAGTATCATGGACTGACTATATGCTGCAAGATTGGGCAGACTGGTGATTGGCTAATAAAGTGGTGTAATTTGATTGGTCGACTATCTGATCATTATTAGCGTAATTCAAATTATGACCGGCCCAGCAGATTGTAGTTACACAAACCACATTTTCACTGGGAGCTGCAGTATGCGGTCTATTAGAGGAATTGTTAAATTTATGGGGATTTAATTAAGACCCAGACAGTATTCGTTATCATCCGATATCAATTAAGCAGCTATTCTAAATAAAGACTAGAAATTTGCTTGTTTTTTCTCCAGACAGAGGCTGTCAATATTGGTGAACATTGAATGAGCAACATGTAGTTTTTGTCTATTCAGACAGATCTCCATTTGGCAGGAAACAACAATATGTTTGTGGACCAGTCGTACGCCGGTTGTCAGAAGACTGAACAAAATGATTAGAAATATTATTGTGATTTATTTAGAGGTGTATTCATAGACATTCTGCTTTATAATCTTGTAGTTCTGCTTCATTGTCGGTGAAATACATAAGCAGTCCTTTTATTGCCAATCCTTTTTCTGATATTCTCGCGTTGGTTACCACACATAGTATTCTGAAGAACCTATTTGTCTTCTGAAGCCAGGTTCAGGATCCTTTCGTATCTGGGAAATTGAGTCGTAGCTCAGTAGTATGTATGATTTCTTGGGAGTAGACAACCTACTGTTTATACACTGCTCCATCAAAGGACATAAAAGTGCATTGGTTGAGCTGCAGAAAGATACTGTATGCAGTTCTGGTCTTGTAAGGTGCTGTGATAAGTGTGTTTTTGGTTCTCCTGATAACCAATGTATAATTCCCCAGTCAATAGGTGCATCATTATGTTTCCACTCGTTGTGTGCATTGGTGGTTCAACAGTAAAATCCGTATGATACGGATTCGAATTGGTAAATCCTTCCTAATTTAGTAACTGGTAGTATGCCCGCAAAAGAGAGTAGGTTAAATGCCAGAATGGCAACTCAGCCTTGTGGAATAGAAAACAACATAACCGCTTCTAAAACTTCAAAGCTTGAAGATCCGGATTCTACGTGGGACAGAAGGAATGTATAAATAAAATACTCAATGGTAACATCATGAATTATTTTCGTTGATGGTGACTAGCAGTGGAATCTAGGACGCGCATTTCTCAGATTGATGTACCTGTGACTGCAATGAGTGATTGATTGTGTTCCGAATGAGCACAATTTAAAAGTTGTTAGTCATTATAATACACACAATGAACAGTGATTGGATGTCAAGCTGTTGATCTCGTGCTCTGACTATCCTTGCTTCATTGCCTAGAATAATCATGAAGAAGATAAGCACTCTGATAAAACTGATGTTCAATATTCTTAGACAGTCAACTGTTCTACAGATGATGGAGTCAGCTAAATGACGAAAGCTCCTGCTAGCATTAGTGGAAGACTACCAACTAATGAAGAAATTAGTGAAGTGAAAAGAATAGGATTCTGTGAATACAATAAGGAGCGTGAAAAATATAACGTAAACTGAGGATAGCAGATTTAGTAAGAAAGGTCAAAAGGAGTGAAAAAGGCTTGTAAAGGCAGGAGTATGGAGAAATAAATAAGATAGAAATTTACAGTGTTGACTGTTATTGTTTTCTTGGATTAATTTATTGGTCTTATTCTATACAGTGGTGAGACAAGCAGAAAATACGTCTTATCATAAAATTCTAGATACTAACAGTTTGAGCAGACATGAAGATGTGATCTTAGATGACGCGTAGGAAATCCTGATTAACGTTTTATAGTTTGGTTTGTAAGGGTTAGTTATGTTTTTACGAGTTGATCACGGATCGATATCAGTTAGAGAAACATTGAAAACCAGGGAGTTCTGGACAGCTGCTGTTTCATCCTAGTTTGGGAATCATCGGAAGTACACACCCACCACCCGGATTCGAACCCAGGACCTTCTGATTACAAGGCAAGCTCGTATACCATTCAGCCATTGGACCCCATTCAATGGCTCATGAATTCTTACTCCTACCAATTAGTGATTTAGCGCAACCCCAACCATTGTCGTTGGTGGGACACCCATCAACACACGCGACATCTAATTGGACCTCACTGGTCACAATTTCTCACTAGAACTCAGGAAACTCCAACCTGTAGCGAATCACCAGCGAGCATCAGATTAATTTTCTATAGTTTGGTTTATAAGGGTTTGTTATGTTTTTATGAGTATACGAGCTTGCCTTGTAACCGGAAGGTCCTGGGTTCGAATCCCAGTGGGTGTGTACTGCCAATGATTCCCAAACTAGGATGAAACAGCAGCTGTCCAGTACTCCCTGGTTTTCCGTGGTTCTCTAACTGATATCAGTCCGTGATCAACTCGTAAAAATCCTGATCAATAAATAAGAATCGATATGTACCACTAACTAATAATACTTGGTCAAAGTTCCCGACTGTCTCTATCTACTTACGGAGACGTTAACAGATTGTTTTACAACTGTTTATCCGCACACCTACACACTGTGTTTAAAATGTCTAACAAAGGTAGATCAATATTTGTAAGTCTGGGGTCACATTTTGATCACAGTTCATAAAATTTTGTTTGTTATTATACTTGTTAATACTTTTTTTATGACTCATGATTGGACAAAGTTTTTTAAAAACAAGAAATGTTCCTTTTATGTATAAACCTCTGTTATGTTAATTTCGATTAATTTCCCTGAAGAAGTTCGGACCAGATTGTCGAACGAAACGTTGGAATTACTCATTTCAATAACGCAGAGATTTTACAAATATAATTTTTTACAAATGTCTACTTCTCACTCGGCGCCCAAATATTTTAGAACTATTCTGTCAAATCTTGACTACAGTTCATTTGATTTATTTCAGCTTTACTTGTTTGGTTACTAGGAAGATGGTTGATGACCGAAAATTTCTTACTTGGTTTAATTTGATGTCTACTAATAAATAGGTGATATATAACCGCACTGTTTAGGCATTTAGTTGCCACTTTACTCAAACATAGTGGGACAGGTTCACATGTGAGCTACTGCATTTTGATGACTTGCAAGAGTTCTATAAATTGTTATTATTTCTAGAATAAAATGCACCGAGTTGTCGGATATAATTTTCATTG